CCCCTAGCAAATGTCCTGGCAATATGTACAGAAGCTATGATTTGATAACCTGTCGGAACGATAGTTATTGCTTATTAGTTTTCAAATGAATTATCGTTATGAATTGAGGACGACAGTCATAAGGAATTTCTTGTATTGGCGTACATAGCACTAATTTTGGTTAGCGTGGTATTTTTCCAGACAAATTCTAGTTTTTCACCCTGCCCATCAAAGTAACCGTCATAGGAACGGTAACACTTGGTAAACAGGTCTTTATACATAGGTTGTTAGTATGTATAGCACGAAAGAGGAAAGGACAGAACACCTATAATCATTCCATTTGTAACACATCTCGATGAGAGACAAAAATTGCTAGCATTGACTGCCAGTTACGGTGCTAATGGGCTTACTCAGAATTAGATTTAAATTGAATAGTGATTACCCATTCTCGAATTCAGCGATTTTAATATGGAATATTTTATATGGTATTACATTACTTTTGTGGGGAAAGGTTGTAATCAGTAATACTGTGTTATTCAAGAAGATTTTAAATATGATATACCTACGAAATTGTAAGGGACCAAAGAGATGTTGATTTGTAGAATAATTATGAAGAAAATTTAGTAATATATCAAAAAAGAACTAAACAGTTTTGACAGCCTGTAGAATTCTGAAATACAAAAAAAAACTTAAAATTTTTTCCTAAACTTTTAACGAAAAGATTTTGACAATTATTTCGACGGTTGAAGGTATTGAGAATTATACGTAATCATAATAAAATCGAGAAAGTTACTGAAGCTTCTTCAAAAAGTTTAGAAAAAAAAAAGTAATAATCGTCTAATTTTAGAAAAGTTATCCAGACAGGACAAATTAATTCTAACAGTTAAAAATTCTAAAGTCTGCAGAATTTTAAAATGCTCTTAAAATTAGTCCTTGTTATAGAAAACCTATCTTAGTAAAATATTTGTTAAAAAAATTATATACGGAGTAGAAAATAGATTCTCAAATTGAAATCAAGAGTTCTCAGTCTTCTAGCACTTTTTCTAATTAAAGGCCCAGTGTGATCGAGTCATGCGATCCTATAATAAATTTCTATACGTTGAATGATTAAATGTTGGTCATATGACTTCATCCTCGATTATTGGTACGCTGGAAAAACGTTTCTGATTAATTATGTACGTACGTAGTGGAGTGGTCGGTCAAACTTATTATTATATGTAGACCCATAATAAAAACAATTAAGCAACTTTTTTAATACGAATGTATTGTTGGATAAACATCCGGGTATCCGTGGATGGTACGGATATTTGGATGTCAAATTTTGCTCACGGATAAAATATTCCGGATGATTATATGAACTTTTTAATTTACTGTAATAAGAATAAAATTATTGGTCAACGCATTCTAATTGGCTATCATCCGGATATCCGTAATATTTACGGATATCCGAATGAGCACGGATGTTATCAACGGATATTCGGATGGATACGGATGTCCTATCCGGATAGCTTTTTTTGAGCGCGGATGACTATCCGGTTCCCAACACAACTTTTCAATAGGAATTTATTATACGAAAGTAGATTTTTGAAATCTAACACCTCTCGCAGTATTAATTCCTCAAATTCAAGAATAATATGAAACGGACTAAAGCATGCTTTTTAATTTGTTGTGCGGTAATATTTTATAAATGTATATTTAGATTATACAAATATTTATAAAATATTAAAATTTTAAATGCAAAAAGAAAAATCCCCACGAAAAATTAAAAAGCATGCTTTTTTAATCCGTTTCATATTATTCTTAAATTTGAGGAACTAATACAAAGATCAATCACTTTCGTATAATAAATTCCTATTGAAAAGTGATATTCATTCGTCCGTATTAAAAAATTGCCTAATTGTTTTTTATTATATGATATATAATTTGATTTAATTAGTTGACCGACCACCCCAACGTATGTACGTAGTACATTGAAGTTATTAAAGGAATAAGATCTTTTTATCACATGATTTCGGTAACTCTCCAAAACCGACTCAAAATTGAGCAAGGGGTCGTGATAAAAATACTTAAATAGTTAAGCACATTGTTTTAATGCAATGCGAAGCATATACGTACGTACGTATATTTACGTACGAATGCATGTATCAGAAACATAAAATTTCTTGATATAAGTCAAAAGCTGTTCTTACGTAAGTATCAGGAACTTCCATTAATATAAATAAAAACCGAATAAAATAGAATTTTTGCTGGAAAAATTATTGGCCGAAAAAATGAAGTTTTAAAACTTGATTAGCTAATAATTCTTTTTGTTATATGAATAAAAATGGAATATTTGACCGGAAGTAATTACTTTTCTTGGTACGTACATACACACAAATTTATTCAAAATGTAACTATAGTCAGAGTCAAATTGAAGCTCGACTTAAACTGACACCGAAATCCGACTCTGCAAAGTTTTTAAATCCCTACTCTAAGTAACCAAAATCCATACAATACAAATTATCACTTGTTAGAATTCCTAAATTGTGAATCAGTTTTAGAGGAAGTGTCACGGAGGTGATTCTCACATGAAAAATACTAACAATATCAGATCAGATTTTGTTAAATCACATGAGTTACGTTGTACGTACGTACGTCAAGTTATAAGATGCGATATCAAATCGCTGTGCCTCCCACTCTTATTAATAATCGGTTGACTAGATATATTAATAACTATATAATTAATATACGTATAATCGATAATCAGTTTGTTTAAATGTTAATACGTGCGTACGTACGTAGGCATGTAAGTTCGTACATACGAACTTCTATTTTTTTAAAAAAAAATCCGGTCCCAAACTTTAAATATATAAACTATACTAGATTTACTTTTTTTAATACATTTAAGGTTGAAAAATGCATAATTTAAACGGCACATGCAGATTATGTAGAAAAGATTAATAATAATAAAAGGCACGCCATTTATCACGTAATATTTTTTACCTAAGAACTCTACGTACCAATACATATATCCATGTATGGGTATGATTGAATAATAGGTATAAAAAAATATATATTATATTATATAAGATAGCTAACACATATATCCATTGTGAAAGATCATGCACGTAATACCCAGAAGGTTTACGTAATACCAATTTGCTATGCCTCCCTAAATCCATATTACGTAATATCCTAAATGAATTAATTAATTTGAACTTTTCTAGCGAAAAACCTATACAAATCCATTGAGGTTTTAATTTCGCTTGCTTCTTTTTCAAAATTATCCAACATCTGAATATATTGATCTTTAGAAACCATTATTATATCCGGCATAAATGCAAATTCTTCCATGAATTTTCGTACGCTTTTCAACATCTGTATTAACAAAAGATTAGTAAATATATATATATTATTTTAAGAAATAGATATATTAATTTTATTTAAGTATAGGATAGTTTGTTAATTACTCACAACAAAGCCAAAGTATCCATCCCAATCACCTAATGGAGCATTTACTTTACTATAGCCAAAATCTGTCAATTCATTGTTTTGTTCAATAAATTTTGGTAATAAACTAATAACATTAGGACGTATCCCCTTTTCTTTATAAAATGGCTCAACTGCTACCAATTAAACAAAGTGATTAAGTAAAACTAATAATAAATTATATAGTTATTAGGCGTGTAGTGAACAATAACTGCAGTTATTTGTCGAACGTATAATCAGTTTTTAGCTGCTACGCGCCAATAACTGAAAAATTATCCGTCAAAAATTGACAAATAACGTTAATACGTATTCGAAAAAGATTTGTTAGATGCGATAGTGGCCGAATAGCATTTAACAAGTCTTTGACAAAAATGCAGTTATTGCTCACTTACACGCCTAGTAACTGTCTACGACGATCTGCATATGACGCTCTTTTGGATATAAAAAAAAAAATTATATTATTTTATCAAGGCTAAAATTATAT